CTTTTTTTTTTTTTTTTTTTGGCATGTAATGGTGATAGACATAAAACACCCTTTCAGGTTTTGTCTGCTTTATTTAGGCACTTTCTTAAGTCTAGACAATCAACAAAACAATAAATCAAGCTTTGACTTGCAGCATTTGCTGGTTTCTGTAGTGTAGATACGCCCATCATGGCTGATTTCAAGCTACCAACCTGCTGTCACTGAATGCAGAGTGGGGAAGAAATGGATGGTATAGCACACCTTTAGATAGTATTTCCACCATGTAAATATAGTAGATGTAGGTAACTTCAGGAGTATAGATAATAGAAAAATGTAGCAAAATAATTAGGAAGTGAGTTTTAAATATTTCTTACTTTTATTTTTAGTGTAACTTGTTTAATTTTAAGTTTATATAATTTAATTTTAATAATGGCTATCTTTAACAACCAGCTTGCAAACCTCCTGAAAATGTAGTCATTGGCCTTCATGAGCAGGTAAATGTCTAATTCAGTACATCGCTGGGTGTGACTGCAAGAGGCAGAACAGAGAAAACAAGAGCATGGAAAACTTGTGTGTTCAGAATCAAAGTTGTCAGTGAGCCTCCTTGTGTCTAAACACAGATGATTTGACTTTTTATTGCAAATAAAATCATGGGTTTGTTTGATTTAAAAGGAAAAAAAAATGAGGCCTAAGCTTCTGAGGACTACCACATTGAGATTTATTTTGGGGAAAACATAGAGTAGCTGGCCTTTGTCAACTCTGTTAGCAACAGAGTTGGTAATAAATATACCATCCTCCCACTTCATCCTTTCATTGATTAACAGAATACATTTTTATTAAAAGCAATAAGTGAAAGCCCTGCTAGGTCCTGTCTTAAGCTCTGGGGACATAAAATGAAATGATTTGTTATTGCCCTTAGTGTGATTTCAGGCTAGTGGAGGAGACAGACATTAGATCAGATGATTAGAATGCAAGTAGAGGTATGGACCCCATACAGCAGGTGGAGGGGCAGGGAGAGACGGGTAACAGGATAGTGATTGAAGCTTCTTAGGCACCAAGACACAATAATAAGTGAATTTGCAAATGCGATGCTACATCATGCTGGTAGATTGGATTAAGGAAATGTTGGGAAACCAATTCCATGGCTCTTGAACTCCCAGTCAACCTCAAGATACGAAAAAGTCGATGATGGGGAAGGATGAAAAGATCTGTGAGATTTTTCTTGGGAAGAGTTGTGGGGATGCCACGAGTGGGCTGCACTGGGACCACTCAGAGAGCTTGGTACGTGTGTGCCTACCATTGGGACAGAGTGTAGTTAGAGGGTAAGAGAAGAGCTGTTTAACCACCGGGGGGAGAGCCAGGAGTTTTTGCTGTGGTGGGATCAGCCTGCACTGCCAGTGCTGTTGGGAGTAGTTCAGTGTATGTGGGATGGGATGCGGGTGGCGAATCAAGGGCTGGGGCGGGGAGTAGCTGCTGAGGAATGAAGGTGCCAGCAGTGGGAATGAAAAACTCAGGAAAGAAAGTGTCAGCTTCCGCCGTGTAGCAGGCCTAGAGGCTGTGAAGCCACTTAGCTGAAGAACAGTCCTGCTGCTGCCTCCTCTCTTCTCACGCCCATCCATGCAGGAGGGCATCAGAGGCGGGCAGAAACCGACCACTCGGATGCCAACTTTATATTTTAGCTGAGAGGAAGAGCAGAAGTCTCAACCTGAATGAAGTTGGAAGTGTTGGTTAACACCTTGGACCAAAATTATTTTAATTTCTGAATTGAGATGTGTTTTGTTACTTATGAGGGTTTGGCACTCTATTACTTGAGAGTAAACAGAAAAATCACAGGACCTGCCAAGTTTCCATCAAAGATGACGGAAGATCCTCCGAAGAATCAATTTAAAGGGACTTGGGGAAACAAAAACAGACACGGGTTGGATTACACCACAGACTGACGGTGCTTGTTCAATGTGAGGGCTACACATGGAAAAACATCAAGTCAGGGTGCACAGACCCAGTCTGATAACCTCCCACCACCAACACAACCTGTTTATCAGAATTCCCTGGGGAAATGAGACTACCCAGCTGCTAGCAAAACAAAATCCCTCCCGGAACAAACATTCCATACCAAATGGAATGAAGAAAATAAGACAAATATTTGGATAATTCAGTTTCAAGAAAGCTCTTTTCCTTGAAATTTCCATTTAAATTAAAAGTATTTTTTTTCTTTTTGGCCATGAATTATCTATATAATTTCCACAACTTCTACATAGCCAATTTTCTGTGGTTGAAGAAAAAAATAGCGTGTTCAATATCAGCCTTGTTAATCATGTCCTGCCGTAAGATTCCCCATTGTATGGGAGAGCTTTCTTCTATGACTCATGATCTGTTTGTTTATCCTTTATTCAGAAGCCTATTTTCCTGTGTAAATTCTTGAACAAAACCTTTACATGCTTGCATGTTGGTACAGTAAGATCTTTCAGTGTTTTCCCATTATTCTGATCTCCATGGAATTATGCACTAAAGACATCTATGTTCACTAGTAGATATTATCAATATAGGAATATCAACATTGTAAAAAATATATATATACTGCATTGGGCAACTGGCATTAAGTGCTTCATTAATATTATTCCTGAAACATTGTACACAAATATTGAATATCAATCTAATCAATAAAAGAACAGAAGAACTTGAATTTATCTTAAACAGGGGAACAAATACAGGCATACCTTGGAGATACTGCAGGTTCAGTTCTAGACCACTGCAATAAAGGGAGTTGTATCTTTTTGCTGGTGGAGGGCCTTGCCTTCAATTTGTAAAAAGACACATCTTTGAAGCACAATAAAGTGAAACACAATAAAATGAGGTGTGCCTGTATATGCATGGTCTCACGGTCTCTTTTAAGAAACAATTACCATATGAGTCTGTAGTTCACATCGTTATACTGATTGAGACCATTGTTTCTTTAAAATGCTTGAACGTGATAGGAGTTAGCAGAGGTATTTGTTTGCCTCACACCAACCCTGGGGTTAAACTTAAATACTTAAGAGTACTCCAAGGAGGGTATCACTCACAAACTGCTCATCTATGCTCTAACACACTGCTTTTGAATTATAAGGAGGAGGCAGCTTTATTGGAAGGAAGCTGAGGCCTTTTCTGTTTATTTTTGCATTTTGCACGTGGATTTTGCATCCTCCGAGAACCTGGACTTTGTTTTCTTGTTTCTAGGGTTACAGTGACCGCCATGTGCAATATGGACTTCAGCCGATTTCCCCTGGACACACAGACGTGCTCTCTTGAAATTGAAAGCTGTGAGTAGACTTGTGCCAGTAACTCTGAACACCTCCAACTTTCAGCAGCAGCAACAGTAGGTGTTCCTCATTCATCACTATGCTTTAAAGTGACTTTTTAGATTGAACCTTTTTAAAATCAGGGACAAATTGGGGATTGATCCTTTTAATGCCTACGGCCATCGTTTTTCGGTTTTGTTTTGTGGAACCTCAAGGTTTTCCATAGTATTCCAGTCTCACTGCCTGGGGAGGAATGTAGAGGGTCAGCAAATTTGGGTCTCCTGGCAAGTCCTTGGCTCAACACTCATACACATGCTCCATGAGAACAGCTCATTTTTTATCTGTTTCATCACTCTTCTGAGTAAGATTTTGTTGCAAACAGGATTTCCTGACAAAAACCAAGTCTGGCAACAAGTGCCTGGGGAAATTTCCACTGTGAGCACAGATGGTGGTTGAGAGTCTCAGGGACATTCCAGGACCTCAGGAAAGTTGCACACACGAAGTCCTAGAAAAGTACAGCAGCAGGCCCCAGGAAGACCAAGGTGGAGGCAGGGTCTAGGACTCATATCTCTAGGTCTCTACGCACCTGTTCTGTGTGCCAATCTCTGCCCAGATCTCTAAGGGCACAGTCTGTATTCTATAACTCCAACTCATTCACACCTTCCAAACCAGCACACAGCCACTGGCACTTCCCAGCCGTGTCAAAGTCCTAATGAGGAACCTCGTTGACCCAGGGCACCTTTGTAAGCCTGCCTGGGCTGTGACAGTGGATCAAGTGTCCCCTGGTTCCAATCATCTAGTCGAGGAGCACAAGGGTGCTGACCCCACACATAGCAGGGGCCAAATGGACAGCTCTTCAGGGCACTGAATGTGGGGAAATGGTGTAATAAATTCTAGGACCAAGGGGGTGACTACCTACTGCACAGTGGCTTTACACCTAGTCTGTCACTTAATCCTCACAAAATCCCTGGGAGAGGGTTAGTGTCCTCTCCATTCTACAAGGAAGGATGAAACTTGCTTGAGGACACAGAGCTGAGGACTAAGCTGGTTGGCTCCCGAAGCATGTTTTCCCCAGTGCACCCAGGCATCTCCATCCGGAATGTTGCTTCTTCCAGGTTGCATCAGTCAGGGTTCCACCAGAGAAGCAGAACCATAGGAGATGCCTAGTGATTTAATGCAAAGAATTGGTTTACATGAGCCTGGGGGCTTGTGAGGCAAATCCGCAAATCCGACGCCCTGCCTGTCAGGAAGGGCAGGCTGGAGCTCTGGGCAGGATCTGACCATGCAGCCCATAGCTGGGATTTCTTTTTTCCTTGGGGAACCTCAGGTCTGCTCTGAAGTCCTCTCAGTTGATTGGATCAGGCCCACCCAGATTACCCTGGATCATCTCCTTTACCTGAAGTGAACAGTTTGAAAATGTCACCTCTACAACATCTCCACAGCAACACACAGTGTTTGATTGAATAGCTGGGTACTATAGCCTAGCCCAAGTGAACACACAAAACTAACCATCACACAGGTTGAGGGTTAGAAATAGAATAAAAAAGAAGAAAATAGAGCATCAGGAGACCTGGAAAGAACTGTTTACACATGAACAGCCTGGACTGGTGTCCCTCATTTTATCTCCATCTGCCAAGGCCGCAGGTAGGTTTGTTCAGCTGGGGTAAGCAGTGTGCTCACCTCAAGTGGGCAAGAGGTGGAGAATGGTGGTGCCAGAGGGAGTGGACCTCATAGGGGAATCTCTTTGATTTTACCTCGCGTAAGAGCAACTGGAGGCTTACAGAAAAAGGACGTGTTCTGCTTCCATCTCTTTCTGGGTCCTTTCTTCCTAGAATGCAGCCCTTTCACCTGAGAGTGGTAAAGGTATTTGCCATCAATGATGCATCACTACACTTTGAAAGAAGACAAGGCTAAATTACCCTGGTTTAGGCTGAAACCATATGCAGTTTTGCATTATTTAACCATTTGTGGTCTACAGAAACAGCAATTTCATTTGCTTTAATGGAATAAATGGCAGGCTGAATTTGGAGTGAGCCCTTTTGCAGGAATTATAAGCATGTAGGCATGAGAGCTTTGATCTAGTGACCTCTGGAAGACTAGGGAGAATTAGAGTTGTCTCTTTGGATTTTGTTTTGCCTCATTTAGACTGTGGTTTGTTTAGTCAAATGATCGTGTTACAATGCTAGTAGTTTCTCTGGAAGATCAGGGTTGGGAGGCAGCTTCCACAGGGCCTCATGCTATCTCCCATCTTTTCAGATGCCTATACTGAAGATGACCTGATGCTGTACTGGAAAAAGGGCAATGAATCCTTAAAGACAGATGAGAGGATCTCGCTCTCCCAGTTCCTCATCCAGGAATTCCACACCACCACTAAGCTGGCCTTCTACAGCAGCACAGGTGGGCGTGGGGTGGGCTGAGGGTGTTCGGGCCAGTGCTAGCCTGACTGGGACCGGTCAGCCTCTATTTTAAAAAAGGTGTGAACTGGTTGTCGAGTGAACAGAGCCTGTACCACTTGAATTAGACACCAAAGATAGGAATCCTAAATCAGGCCTAGAGGGTGGTGAGCATTGGGTGGAGGTGATTTTTTGATGCCACCAAAGTAGCAGAAGTGAGAACCTAGAAAACATCAGTAAGGACTAAAACATAAGCCATGTGAGGAGGCTTATCTGAGACGATCACATTGCCAGTTTAGCATCAGGCATCTCACCCTAATATGATTACCAGACCCCCCTCCTCTGCAGGCAAGAAACAGTCCAATTTCAGGCCTGTCAATTTCCATTCATAGACTCTCTGCTTCCACCAGGCCCTCTGGGAGTGCTCCTGTCTTAGGCAANATTTCCATTCATAGACTCTCTGCTTCCACCAGGCCCTCTGGGAGTGCTCCAGTCTTAAGCAACCCTCTCTTACTATACTGCTTGCACGGGTCCTCCTTATGACCTTCTTGTGAGCCTCAGTGCAAGAACTACTGGCCATTTTCCTGTGGGCAGTGTTGTTTTTGAACCAAGGTTCTGGACAAGCTTGCTACTTCCTATTGCCTGAGGGTATGCTCTGTGGTCTTCCCTCTGGTACCTGAGGTTAATAGCTGAGGTTCACTCTTTCCAATCCTTGCCTCTTTCTTGACTAATCACCTTTCAGGATGATTTTGCTAGAATCTTTATGCAGTTTCCATTGCTAAAACATTGCATGACTAACTATAGAGGGAAATGCATCCTTTTAAGTCTTTCTGATCTAAACATAGGACACCATAGTATAGCAATCGAGCAGATCCTATCTTCTGTATGTATCATCCATGGGTCTTGGTTCTTCAGGGGACTCCCATTCTTTTGACCTTCAGTATTCTGACATTTCCTCTTGTCTTAGTCTACTTGGGCTGCTAAAACAAAACACTGTAGACTAGGTGGCTTATAAACAACAGAAATTATTTCTCATAGTTCTGGAACCTGGGAAGTCCAAGATCAAAGTGCTGGCAGATTCAGTGTCTGATGCAAGCCCACTTCTTAGCTCATGGACAATCCCCTTCTTATTGTGTCCTCCCATGGTGGAAGGGGTGAGAGAGCTCTCTGTGGTATCATATAATTAATTTTTTATTGATTTCAGAGAGAAGAAGGGAGAGGGAGAGAGAGAGATAGAAACATCAATGATGAGTCATTGATTGGCTGGCTCCTGCATGCCCCCCTACTGGGGATCGAGCCAGCAACCAGAGCATGTGCCTTGACCGGGAATCCAAGTGCGATCTCCTGGTTCCTAGGTCGATGCTCAGCCACTGAGCCACACCTGGCAGGGCTTAGCTTGATATTTTAACTTAAAACACATTTTCCTCCATAAAGAAATTCAAAGAGGGTTGCTTAAGTCTGTGCCTCTCAAACTTTAATGTGTGTATGAATCATGTGGGGAGTATTGTTAAAAGGGGATTCTGATTAAATAGATCTGGGGTGGGGTACATTTCTAAGCTCCCAGGTGATGGTGCTGCTGCTGGGTCCTGTCCCACAGTGTGAGTAACAAGAGTCTTAAGTGACCTTCTCAAGGATTTCCCTTTATGTATCGAACAGGGGTCAAAGATTCCTTGAGATGGGTCCATCCATGTGGTGTGGGTATCATAATCACTTGGTTCCATGGTTTTTCTCACCTCCACTTTGTAAAGGTATGGCAAGGGTCCAGTGAAGTGTCTAAGGTGTTGGTGATTCCATGAATAAAATTTGATTTATGAAGGAGCTGAGTAGCTACAGTATGTGCTGTCTTTCCTTCCTTGTGTCCCTCAGGCTGGTACAACCGTCTGTACATTAACTTCACGTTGCGTCGCCACATCTTCTTTTTCTTGCTCCAAACTTATTTTCCGGCTACCCTGATGGTGATGCTGTCCTGGGTGTCCTTCTGGATCGACCGCAGAGCTGTGCCTGCCAGAGTCCCCTTAGGTAAGAAATATTTCAAGTGCACATTCCAGGCATCTGAAAATACAAGTAATGCCTTCCAGATAAAACCCTTCATTTCAAAGTGGCCCTAAACCTCTGTTTGCATTATAACTTGGAAACACTGCAAGCTCTTTATTCACAGGTAAAATGCCATTATGAAAAATCTAGGTAGAAAAACTGTTTCCAGGTCCCCACAGGTGCCCATGCAAATATCCCATCTTCAGTCTTGTCTGAGCCTTGTTTGGGGTGGGCGATCCCGGTCTGTGGGTGCTCTCTCTGCCCACCTGCATAAGGAAATCACATTCTATAACAGGGTTTCTCAAAAGTGACCCAAAGGGTCTTTGTGACAGAATCTTCAATGGAAATTTTTTTAAAAGAAGAATCCTGTATATCATCTATATGTATAGAACCCTGAGAGAGGATCAGAAAACTGCATTTTGAATATACTCTCCCATTAATTCTTATGCATACTCAAGTCTGAGAACCTCCTCTCTATGAACATTCCACTGGTAACTACTTGCCATCAACTCTCTGCCCCATTTTAAATATTGCACCCACTCAATGACACACTACCATTGCTCAGACAGTTCAGGGGTTTCAAGAGAGAGGGTGACCCACCAGGTTTTAGTGAAACTGGATTGGAGCTGGCCCTTAAGATGACCCCAATCCCCTGTGATTTGATGTTTGCCAAGCAAATGTTCTGAGCTTAATTTGAAATCCTGAGCAAATTTCTATTGACAAATGCCCTATCCTTTAACAGTTGTTCTATAGCTTAAACAGTTACTGTGTTAAAAATATGTACGTTCTAATTTTAAATACCCGTCTCCTATAAATGAGGTTAACATCATCCTCCTTGATAAAATGGTCATTGCTGAACAGACAGGCAGGCTGCTCGGGAGTGGCTGCCAGAGGTGCCCTGACAGTTAATGATACAGGCCTGGGACTACAAGACTAGAGGACAGCTACAAGGACACAAATAGTCAAATAAACCTGTGTACTTGTTTCATTTTTTTAGAAAAGTAGTTACAAGAACCATATATATATACCTGCTCATATATGTAACCTTTGTTTTAAAAAATTGAATGGAAATAAAGGTCTTGCTGCCAAAATGTCTGGGGCTTTCAGCAAAAGAAGATGACACAGGTGCTATGAAGAATATGCAGGTATACAAAGGGGAAACAGGTGACCTGGAGGGGTGGAGGGACACGAGAGCTTCATAAAAGCTAAAGCTTGAGCACTGAGTAGGTGTTTCACAGACAGAGGGGCAGAGACCGAGACATCGTGGCCGAAGGAGCAGGAGGGACAAAGAGCAGAGGCGTGAAGCCCTTGGGCATGCTTGGCCAAAGACAAGATTTCTCACTTTATTTGCAGGAATCACCACGGTGCTGACCATGTCCACCATCATCACGGGCGTGAACGCCTCCATGCCGCGCGTCTCCTACGTCAAGGCCGTGGACGTCTACCTCTGGGTGAGCTTCGTGTTCGTGTTCCTGTCGGTGCTGGAGTACGCGGCCGTCAACTACCTGACCACGGGCCAGGAGCGGCAGGAGCGGCGGCTGCGGGAGCAGGTGACCTTGCTGTGAGCTGCACTTACCTGCTCAGGGTTGCAGCCTGGCCTCGCTCGGGGCCTTGGGCAGGTCAGACGTCCTCTGTCCAAGGGGGTAGTGACACACCCTCTTCCACCTGCTCCATGGGGTTGGCATGAGAGCAAACACAAGGATAGGCTGAGGCATGGAATTCACTCCCGGCTACACCTCATTCACTCAAACATTTACTCACACCCGCCTCATCTCAGGAGAAGCTAAGCCAAGTGAACTAAGACACGGGTCCCTTTAACTTTGGTGGTGTTCATAGTGTTCAAAGTAAAGGACAATGTCTGGGGCTCCATTTACGTGGTGGGGCAAATTATTTATGAACATAGAACTGTAATGAAAGAAGCTTCCAGGGAAACACACACGCCATTCTAGGAAATTCTTCTTCATACATGACCTCAAGCACCTCCCATCCACCTGATGTTCCTTTCTCCCTCCGGTCTGCAGCTCGTTATCTCTTACAGAAAACTAACTATATAGCAGCAAACGATTGCCACAGTGCCACACCTTTCAAATCCCCCCTCCCTCGCCCCTCTTTGCCTCTCAACAACCTTATCTGTAAACATTTTTATCTGGGCTGCTATCGGTTAATGACCTCGTGGAGAACAGGGCGCTTCTCTGATCACGAACATTCTTCTTGGTCTCTGGTATGACGTGAAGATTCCTAAGAGTTGATTTGTACACTTTGGCTAAACAAAAAACAAGACCTGCTATTTTAGAATGTTTCCAGTGCCACCACCATTATTTCCCCCCCCACCCCAACAGGGAATAAAAGAAACAAGAAAGGCCACCCCCGCCACCGTGCAGCTCCTGAGAGACGAGGCTGAGCTCGCATCCCAGCGTGTTTGCTGTTTGCTGTGTCCGCAGCTTCCCTGCACCTGCGGGTCACCTCAGCCCCGCGCCGTCCTGCTGGACAGCAGCTATGGCGACGTGGAGGTGACCGACCTGGGCAACTACGTGCCAGACACCGGCGAGAAGCCAGACAGGGTGATGGTGCAGCTCGCCCTGGCCTCGGAGAGGAGCTCCCCGCAGAGGAAAAGTCGGAGGAACAGCTACATGAGCATGAGGATCGACACCCACGCCATTGACAAATACTCCAGGATCATTTTTCCAGCAGCCTACATTTTATTCAATTTAATATACTGGTCGATTTTCTCCTAGATGCCTGTAGTTCTGTAAATTTCATATTCTTTTGTGTGTACTACAGGAATATCTGTATGATAAAAAGTAAGGTTATGGGGGAAAAAAGTTCCCAGGACCTACCCTTGTCCAGCTTTCCAAAACTACCTTGACAAGACACTTCTCGGTTTAATTTGCACTTGCTAACCATCTACCGAACACACAGCATGATACTAGGTGCTGCAGGAATACAATACCCATAGCAACTGATGGTAGTTGTTCCTGGAATCTCCTGGAAATACATTATAGTTCAACCTCTTTTAGACCCTAGGTCCCTATTGGCATGAGTGATTTCCTTATGTGAGTGGTACATTCTTCAGAGTAGGTCCAATTGGAATACGCCTAAAGTTCATTTGTATGAAACATATGTACACCTAGAAGTCCCCACTTTGATCAAAATTCATGCTTCAGTTTATAGCCTATTACCTACTTTTTGATGTATTGCCTTGTGTTTAATACAAGGCAATAATAATACTCCTATTTGTATTTACATCTTGTGCTTCATGAGGTTTCACTTTGTCACAAGAAAAGCTCTTTAGATGGTGCAGTTTCTTTGATCTGGGTAGTAATTTCCCTGGTAGGGATACTTCGAGGATAAAGGGGTATGCATGCATTCCCCAGTTTTGTCATAGAGATAACTAGCCTAGCAAACTTGTTTAAATGTTCTCTGTTTTATAAGTACTGCTTCATGCATCTCCACCTTGGATCATGTCCTGTTTCAAAGTGAAGTCCTTCCTCAGTAATGAGATATCTTTACTCAGAAATTTGGGAATAGATTGATCCTCCCCCCCATAAACATTTCCAGAAAATGCATAATTTTGGACTACTAGTACCTTATTAGGATGAAAAATACATGGTTTCTGAAGAGAAAAGGAACACCAAAAAGCAATAGAAATGGGAAGACATCCCTGGACATCTGCATTCATACTCAGCGAATACCAGCATTTTTTTATGAAACAGAAAACAATGGCCACTGATCTCAGGGCATGGGACAAAGGAGAGGGTTCTAATTTGAATATCATTTTAAACAAATGGTTACTTGTAACATATATCTATAGGATCAACCCCCACCAAATTTATCCAAACATCATTTGTTTGAAACTCACTTTAATAAAGTGAATGCTATACATAATAATGTCATTTTCATTCCAAATTAATTTGACTAATCATTTATATTAAATAATATCCTGGTACTTGTTCACATGCAGGGAGGGTTATATACTTTATTCCCATCTGAAAATGAAAACACATGAATTTACACAAATCCTAATTACAAGGCAATCTCCCATTTCCCCCAATAAAACTCATCAAAAAGTTTTTTGACACTCAAGTAAATAAACTTAAAGGGATATAGAATAGTAAATTGTTAACTTTTAATATTAAAAATCATTTTTAAAACATTACTTTTTTATGCTTATTTTATGAAACAGTTTTATCAAACTCTTCACAGTCATCTTGCCAGGGGCTTCATCCTCATGGACCAGGGCCACCTTGACTCACCTAGCAGGCCTCCAGGGTACATCACCTGAACAAACTTCCATCTCCCTCATTTGGGAAACTCCAACATTTGAACCAGCATATAGGATGCTGTATTAATCTACTCGAGCTGCCATAGCCAAGTACTATAGATTGGGTGGCTTAAACAACAGAAATGTATCTTCAAAAAGTTCTAGAGGCTGAAAGTCTAAGATCAAGGTGCTGGCAAATTTTGGTTTACCCCGAGGCCTCTCTCCTTGCTGTGCCCTCCCATGGCTGTTTTCTCTGAGTGGATATACATCCCTGGTGTTTCTTCCTTTTCTGATAAGGACAGTAGTCATTTGGATTAACCCCCATCCTTATGATCTCATTTAATCTTAATTAACCTTAACCTCTTTAAAGGCCTCATTTCCAAATACAGTCATATTGGGGGTAAAGACGTCAACATGGATTTGGAGGGGACACAATTCAGTCCAAAACAGATGACTCTGGGAATTACTCCTTTGCATAATTGTACATCTAATTCATCTTGTAGGTATTTACTCTTGATTTTTATACAACATAATCACATCAGTATTTTTTTTAAGGTAGTCTTAAAATTGATATACACCTTAGTGATTATAAAGGATAAATGATTAAATTCATATTAAACTTTTTTTGCTCTCTTTTCTAGGGAATCTCTCGGGTGATCTCTGTAACTATTTAAAACTAACATTGATTGAGGTAATATCCACGCTAATGTTTTCTCAAGGCAGTACTTTGCCGTGAAAGCTGTATGATTAAGAGAGAGCAAAGACCCAAATATAAAGCACCTTCTTTTCTGATAGGTAATTTTGAGAAAACCTCGCTATATAAGTGGGAATCCAAAGCACTTAATAAAATTTTCCTGGTATGACTGGAGAGTAGGAATATTTGGTTAATAATATTGTCTGGTTAATGGGCAGGTACCATATAGCCATATTGAATAATTTATTTTAGAAGTTAAAATACTATGAAATACACTTGAAAACGATATGCCAAACATAATTTATTGTCTGCCTGGTAATTCAGAAGGCCCTTTAAGATTTTGAGGTTTCTTATCATTGTTGTGATAAGTGTGGGCATCATAAAGACGTACAGAGTGTTCATCAGGAGAGAACTGGGGTTAGTCAGAGCAGCTTTTACTTAATGGCAATATTCTCTTCCTGTGTATATATTCCTAACTAATATTCTTTATTTTTTTAATAATTCATATTTTGTAGAGGAGAGTTATGATGCTAGATCTTAGAATAAACAATGGTTTGTTACCAACAATGAAACCTCACATTTGTAAAACCCAGCTTTACAAAAAAGTACTTTCACATAGAGTTTCATTTGAACCTGAATGAGGAAACTTTAAAGGCTGAGACAGGCTGACTGACTCCGAACCTGATTCTCGTTCCTCTTACTACAGATAATAAATACTGAACAAGTGAACAGTAGTGCACTATACATAAACTCTAATATGATGACATTTTCTTAACCAAGGGCACCAATTCATTCATTCATTCATTCATTCATTCATTCATTCATTCATTCATTCATTCATTCATTCATACTGTTCAAGACTAGTGTTTCTCAAACCATCTGTGGTGACAGACCAAGTAGTTTTATTATTTTAAATTTCCAATCCATAAGCTTTTTGTATGATAATTTTTTAAGGTGGAGAATCCCTCACAAAACCCAGGCCTATGCCTGCATTCCACCCTCTAGGAACATGGACTCGTGGGTTTGACCATGGAGCCCGGGTCCGTGTGCGGATGTAATCACAACAATCACAATAACATACTCACAGAAAGAACATATCATTTGGATGCTGTGATATGAACCGAGGACAACTGTGTCACAACTGAATGTCAAGGATTGTTATTCATGGGAAATGTAACTACATTAATAAGAAAGTACATTATCCAATGCACTCATCAATAATTTTAGAGTAACACCATTTAGCTCACTTTAGTATTACAACTCTCAAAATAAATGGATGCTTTAACTTTTCAATTCCATATTCTGAGTTTAATTTTAATCTATTTTCTTTCAATCATTTTAGGATTAGTACCTTTGTGTGGAAAGAGACATCTTTATTTTTCTTGAGTTCAGAGTATTTTATAAACGCTCTCTGGTTTACTTCAAAAACAATTTATATTTGGGGAGGTTAGTGGGTTTCTTCAAATAGCTCTTAGAGCTCTGTCCACAGTAAGTCCCCATTATGACAAAGCATGTGCATTTGTAGGAAACTTGGCTCATGTTGACCATGAAAACTGAATGAAGGTAACTGGGTCTCCTTGAGAATCAGTCCATACCTTTCTAAGTGAGACTAACTTATGTGAGGTGCCCAGTCATTCAACTATACCTTGTATCTATAATGGGAGGTGGAAATGAAGGAAACTTTTCTCTTTTTCATTTTTCGTGATTTACACGTTTTAATACTTTGTTCAAAACAGCATACAGTTGCCCTGCCGGTGTGACTCAGTGGTTGAGCATGGACCTAGAATCCAGGATATCTGGGTTTGATTCCCGGTCACGGCACATGCCCTGGTTGCAGCTCGATCCCCAGTTGGGGGCGTGCAGGAGGCATGAGATCAATGACCCTCTCATCATTGAAGTTTCTCTCTCCCTCTCCCTTCCTCTCTCTGAAATCAATGAAGACATATTGAAACCAAAATCAAACCCCTAAAAAATCAGCATACAGGTGACCCTTGAACAACACTGGTCTGAACTGGCTAGGTCCAGTTACAATAAAATTTTTTCAATACATACATTGTAAAAAATTTTTGAAGATTTGTGACAATGATGAACCTAGTAGATGAACCTTATGATTTTCTTAAAATATTTTCTCTAGTTTACTTTATTGTAAGAGTACAGTATATAATGCATAAAATTATGTTAATCAACTGTTTATGTTATTGGTAAGGCTTCTGATCAACAGCAGACTAATAGCAGTTACGTATTTGGGGAATCAGAAATTATACGTGATTTTTGACTGTGTGGGGTGGGGGGAGGGGGAGTGTTGGTGCCCTTATAGCTCTGTACACAGTCAGTCCCCACTGTGACAAAGCATGTTCTCTCCAAAGAACTCATTCTAAGAGACATGGACTAAGAAGTCAATGAAGGAAAAGAGTAAGATTAAGCTCTTGATGAAACTTAATACCTAGTTAGCAGGAGAAAAATAGCACTTCCACTTTCAGGCCAAATGAGGGTTAAACACAACCCTAATGACTGCAAGAGAGAATTCAGACCATCTCTTTTGGGTTTATATGTCTATACAATGTCTGAGAGTTTGACTAGTCTGCTAGATTGAACAGTTGCTTTGGCATTTCATGAATTAAACACTCCTCTGCCGATCTAAACTTTATGATTCTCCAATATAGAAAAGCCCTTTAAACCTTTTATAGATCTAATTTATTCTGACAACTAAAAATAAGAGAGGGAGCAACAATGCTGTAAAGACATGGCCAAAAGTATATCGTCCCAAATTCATGCCATTTCCATTGGCTTAAAATTTTAATTGACATTTCTAAGAGTAGTATTAACACTGGGAAAAATCTACTAGGGCAAGAAAACAGGTTCTGGCAACAATTATAATCTTAAACTCAATTTTTTTGGTTGCAATGTAGTGACTAGGTGAATGTAATTCTTTAAGTGTCCCTAAAAGTTTAAGAAAACAAAGTTTTGCAGGCTGAGGTCAATGCAATTATTTGATAAAAATTAAATAAAGAGGCTTAAAAGTTGCCTGAGGAAATTTTGCTGTGTAATAGCAAGATTTCTCTTGTGCAAAGGCCAAGTTTAAACTCTCATTCAAGCATGTTTTAACAGGATTCCACTTATAATTTTCCAGTAGGTTTCTTAGACTTCTATTGGAAAGCAATCAACTTCAGTATTGCCCAATCTAATGATATGCCCAGAAAAGTTCAAGTATGACGTGATAAAAATAAATCTCTGAAAATGTCTCAATCTTCTCCCATAATTGGCACAATTTCCTTATGTTGTGCATGTGCACATAACTATACTTATTTAAAAATCAATTTTAATGTTCTGGTTTCTCCCCATGACTACAACTTAATATAAACCTAGCTATATAACTACTGGCTTTGCCATTCCAAGTAGTTAAGTCTTTGAAAAATGGTTTTAAGTTATGAAATATGGCATGATTATACTCAAATACATCTGACAGTTTTATGTAAAAACTAAAGATTTAAGGCACATCAAGTTACTTTCCCATTTTGTAATACTTTTCCACAACATGGTTTAATTACCACGGTATTCCTCAAGTTAATTTCCATTTTTGGGTAATCGCTGCACCGATATCTAATTGGGGTAAATACAACTCAGCTCTGGCACTCAAAGTATCCCCAGAACAGCACTGTATTTACCTAGGAAACTGTAGACAAGCAGAGCCTCAGGCTCCATCCCAGACCTTCTCCATTAGAACCTGTATTTTCACAATTTCCCTGAGAGAGTCACATGTACTGTACATTCAAGTTAGCAAAGTATTGAACTAGATTCACATAACAGTACACTTTCATCATTCACAAAATGTGATATGAGCTACATATATACAGTCAACAACTCAGAATAAATCGAGTGCTTACTGTATATGCTAAGCTCTGTATTAAGAGCTGTTAGCTGATTTGTTGATCTCAAAGAAGTTGCTAAAGTTTACAGCCCTCAACCACCACACCCAGCTTAAAGAGCACAAATGCCTCTTCGAAATAGGAAGAAATATTTTAAAAACATCCCCCCACCACAAAGCTCAACTGGGTTTTTAAAAAAATTTAATTCTAATGGACTATGAATCTGATTTACCTGGGATTAAGTGTGGATTTGGGAGATGAATTTCCTTTCTTTCCCCTTTTTTGGGGGGGAAAGGAGGAAGGTTATTTGTAAAACTCATCAAGTTAAAAAAAAGCAGGAAAAAAATTATTCATAATCCTACTAGCCAAAGGCAACTAGTATTACTTACCTTTTTCTATACATTTTAATATAGTTGCCATCAAGCTTGATATATAAATTGACTTTTTCCCCCTAGCATAGAATGAGAATTTTCCCACTAAAACTTCCTATATTTTGCAGCCCCTGAAATCATTCCATACTATAGATATATAAGGTAATATTTCCCCCTAATGTTGGATAAAAAATGTGATATTTTTGTCACACTACAGACTATTTCCTTACATTAACAATATAGAATGGATGTTGATTTGATATCAATATTCCTTATTATGTTAGTCATATAATTCTAGGTTCCTAGCATTCTGAGACTTTAAACATTACAAATGGGATTAAACTATACCTTAGTGATATCTGATAGCATGGAACAGTAACCCACTCAAACTAGCTTATGAAAGAAATAGCAGAACACGGAAATCCCACAGATACAAAGAAAATCGCGTGAAGTACAGCTCAGCCCCATGAAAGATTCCAGACATCGTTTTTAAAAAAATATCTTTATTGATTTCAGAGAAAGGAAGGGAGAGGGAGAGAGATAGATAGAAACACCAATGAAGAGAGAGAATATTGATCAGCTGCCTCCTGCACGCCTCTGACTGGGGATCAAGCCCACAACCCGGGCATGTGCCCTGACCGGGAATTGAACTGCGATCTCCTGGATCCTAGGTCGATGCTCAACCGCTGAGCCACGCTGGCCGGGCCAGACATCTTTTTAAGGTAGCATGTACCTTTCTTTACTGCTTGCTGGATGATTGCTTTATTCCCTCTCCAGACTGTCCTTCTCTGCTCATACTTGACATTCACTCCCAGATCTAAGGGACCTTAAAATTCCAGGGCTCATATTCATCTAACCTGTCTCAATTCTAAATTCCCAGAAGAGCTAATTCAAGTGTCTCCTCACTCTTACCAGAATTCCATTTGTTTTTACAGGTCTTCTAGAGAGCCAGGAGAGGGTAAACTGGTCCTTTAGGAGACATAAAAGGAATTAGTAACCACAGCCAGGCAAAGACTTTCCTGCTCAGCCAACCTCGAGTTCAATGATGGCTGTCTGCAAATGAGCCCAGTACAAAATATGTGCTTTATCAGATACTTTTTCATTCTTTTATCACACTAAAATAAGAACCAGGAAAAACTTACAATTCTTTAAAGTTAATATTGGGTTAGCATAGGGCTTAAGGAGGCTTAGAATTATATCCCCTAAACTCAGTAAAATATAATATTATGCACTCAGGCTGTACAGGCTGGGTGCATAATATTATATGACATTAACAGTAGTTATATGACATTAACATTCAAGGTAAGTAGATATTGTTCCTCTCTCATTAAGTCCTCTTAGAACACACTAGGCTACCAAGCAAACGCCTTACAGGAAGAGTCCAATGTTATGCTTCTATAATTTTTCCTATTACAGTAATATGGAATTAGGAATAACATTTTATGCCACTTCTCAGAGTTAATTATATAAAAAAAATGAACATTTTATTTTTCCTTCTAATGGTAAAACTAAAGCTTATTCTTTGTACCTGAGTTTCTGGTGGTTTCCCATAGCATTTCTAATTAAAAATCTACTTTAAAAAGTCTCTAATCCAAAACAAACATAGTCAGGCATCAAAATGAACTTCCCCCAAATTTAGAACTTGAATTTTAAAACTACTTTATAAAACAATTTTACCATTCTATACCAGAAAAAAATCTTTCATGCATCAATTCTGAATATAAGGTTTGAAATCTCTAGGATCTTTTGAAATATACAACATATGACTTTATAAACTACAATCACTGATAAACTATATATCATCTAGGTTAAAAAATGCCACCACATACCAGCTCCTGAAAGATACCAATTAAATCAAATATAGATTTGTGAAGATTTTAATTTTAGCTAAGAGTTAATGTGTTTTCTCCACATCATGTCCTCAAGACATGTCTTTAAGGCAAGAGAAATGACTCCTTTTGATTGAAAAACAAACATGCCCTCCTCCTTCACCAAAAAAGGTTAATGAAAAAAAATCATCACTTCTTCTTAATGATTCATAAGCGGCTCCACAATCTTCCTTTCATTCTACTCTATTTAAAAACTCTTCTTCCTGAAGTTTCAATTTAAAGTCCTCTCTGATTCTTTCTAGCAACTCTGGTTTAAAAATAACATCCAACGCAGTCATTGCTAGAGCTTTGGCTGTACGCAAGGTGTAGAACTGAGCTTCTTGTGATCCTAAAAGGTAGAGAAGACAAATTAAAATACTTCTATAGCATTATAAATGAATTGATTAGTTTTCAGGTTAGATTTCAATACTATGTCTAAATTGCCTCTCCACTGCCCACACAATATAGTGTTTGCTGAGGCGGTGTTGGGTAAGGTAGTAACAACAGGCGAAACAATCAGCAAGGCAGCTACCGCTACAAAAGGAGAGCACGTGCAAAACAGTCACTTCTAATAACACTTGCCTGCAGCTTCAGTGTATTGTTCTGTATGATTCAAGGCATCAGATCCAATGTAAAAATACGGATGAATCCCAGGAACCACAAAACTAACATTTCCAAAATCAGTAGATCCTTGGAAAGATAAGATTATCCATGAATTTCTAAAGCTAGTCCAATGGATACTAGATCATAGTTATCTCATTCAATCTCTTTAGCACCTGTCATGATTTACTGCTCCTTCCCTTTTAGAAATTCTCCACTCCTTTGGCTTCCATGACTCCACCCTCTCCTGACTGGCTTTCTCTGACCACTCTCTGTCTCCTTCTCTAGATCACTTCCTTTGCTTGTGTCCTAAGTGCTACTGATCCCTAGGATTTCTTGGGCAACCTCATCAACTGTTTTCAATTATCTCTCAGATATTGAAAACTTCTAAATCCTCTACTCATTAAGTTTGTGAAAAAATATCATTAAAAACATCAGCAATACCTTCCTACCTTTGAAGCTGTTAAACAAAACCATTCAATCAAAGATTTCCCTTCCTCAAATGGCACAATATATAAAAGAACTTAAGTACCTGAAGAGCCATTCAAAATTGCATCATCTTCTGAAATGAATTCTATTCCCAGCTTTTCCCCGTTTTCAATATAAGCTTTCCACAGGCTCTTATTGGGAAGGACATTGTAATAATCATGTGCTCCACCTTTAATTTCTACCTAATAAAAAATTAAAAAACAAATTTTGAGATAAAAAACTAAAATTTACTATCTAAATTTCAAACCAGCAATGACTTTAACGGAAAGAGGTTAAGATGGCGTACTTCCCCTTCTGGATATAAACTCTCTCAAATCTCTTACAACAAAAATAGGTATTTTCTACAATGAGAGTTCCTAGGACCCTATCTCCTTTATTATGTATGCACTGAACCACATGATGTCACCTAGCTCTCCTACCCAGTAAGTCTCAACTTCATTCACCTTAGTAGGGTGTGGGGAGAGTCAGGAATCTCCACTTTAACCAGCACCCCCAAGTAATTCTGACGCTGGTGGTCCAAACACTCTGCTCTAGGCTGTGGCCTCTACAAGAAGAAATTAAGCTTTACTGATATTCAATATACAAACCAACACTGACACCACTGCCTGATCTGAAATGTATAAAGGTACCCTGAGATAAAGAAGATTCACAATTTACAGATTTAATTCTTTTTTTTATTATTATTTAAATACATCTTTATTGATTTCAGAGAGAGGAAAGGAAAGGGAGAGACAGACAGAAACATCAATGATGAGAGGGTCATTGATCGAGCCCGCAACCAGGGCATGTGCCCTGAGCGGGAATCGAACCCCGATTGCCTGGATCCCAGGTCGATGCTCAACGGCTGAGCCATGCCCAGCGGGGCCAGATTCAATTTTCATTAAATCAAAATGGGCAATATTCCCCCAAACTAAAGATAATACCTAGAACATTAGCAAAAGCCAATTATAAAATGGCAGAGATGATACCTATTGTTAGCAACATCTAAGTTAGAAACAATGATAACCTAATCAGATATTACAAGCCTGCCAAAATATAAAAAGTTACTAAAAGACTACTTAAAATATAGATTTGAATCCAGTAACAATGAACCTTATCCTAAGGGAATATTATACCTTGAGATACTAGCAAATGATAATAGTTCATGCATTTATTTTATAAATAAGTATTTTAAATATTTATAATTATAAATAAACAAGGATTAAATACTTAATTTTTACTCTTTGGACACTTAATATATCCCCTCTGAGAATCACTGTTACTGTCTGGGACACTGCTACTATCCGAATAAATCACATCTCCAGTCTAATGAGGGCAGAAAAAAAGGTATTATGTATAAGGATCAGACCGTAACTCTTCATAAACACTACCTCATTTAATTCTTACAAGAACCCTAAGATGGATTATATTATCTCCATTTTTAAAATATTTTAAAATATTTTTCCATCAGAGAAAATGGAGGCCAGGAGATATTAAATAATGTTTCTGAAAATTACAGATTCAGTGAAGCTGAGAGGCACAAAATATAGATTTGAATCCAGTAGTCTTCTCTCTCCCACTGGACTACTGGCTCCCTGCAGGGCAAAATTTATGTCATTCTGTAACTTCTCATCCCACTGTATGCCCTACATAATGTTACTGACTTCATGGCGCAAATGAACAAAACCTCTTGACTAACTTCAGTGTCTATTTCAACTTTCATTCCAGCAAGCCATAAGTATTTATATCCCTACTACACATATCTAGAACTTCACCAAAAATAGCTTTTGCTGATTTTGCCATAAAGTTTCCTTTATAGAAACTATATAGAGCAATTCTGAAAGCATAACTACCAATAAGGATATAACTTGAAAAAGGCAGGAATTCTAGCTCAGCAGTATGAATTGTTCCAATTACTGTGTAATAAGATGACTGTAGTCTTCCCTGTGCAGAGTGAGTAGAATAAATCAGAAGTGAAGACTTTCACATCGACTACTCAGTCAACTAATTTTACATATTCAAGATATCACCAAATAAGAAAGAAGCAAGTAAGATTCAAAGCTAACTTAATATAAACAGCTCCAGCCTACATATATAACTCTGTTATAATTTCGATTAACTCTTAAAAGTTCTTACTGTGCATCCAGTAGCCAAAGCTGCAGCTCTGAAGCAATCTTCTGCCTTTTTGGTCAAAACTGGAAGTTCTTTCATTGAAGGGGCACGGAAGTAATAGATTAATTCAGAATAAGAGGGAATGATATTGGGTTTTACACCACCATTTTTTATTATACCTATAAAAAGGACCAAATTACTGGAATTGAACTTGGAGACCATTTCTTTAAGCTTAAGTATACCCATAATGTTTTCAGCCAATATGTATATAAAGAAAAATAATTTAAACTTATTTGCTTCACAGATATACCAAGGATTTTGCTATACAACAAAAGTTTCTATATATCATAGTGTGATACTTTCTAGCTATTAGGAAAAAAACAAAATAAAAAAACTGTCTATATATACTTTATTCTAAGGGATTTATAAGAAATTACGATTCCTGACTATAAAAAGCTGTTAGAAATTTTATAACTATATTAAGCCTTCTGGAAAATGCTTTTATTTCAGTAGCTTATATTACAGTTGTACGTTTTGATAAACTTTTGACATAAGAAGAGAAAAAAACCTGATGGTGTGAATTTCTACAATTACTCTTGTGCCTCAAGAATCGTATGAGTATTTTAAAAGGCATTTGGCTCTGGGAAAATAATTTCAATGCTAAGAAGAAACCAATGTACCAAGGACCACTAAGTACTATTAACTATTAAAACAAATGCATTTATTTGGAACTACACAAAGAAGGAAAATTTATCTATTCAAAGTTATAACTAAAATAGATATACAAAATCTAATTTTATATGACCTGCTTTAAAAAAATAGCTTTTTACATATTCCTGCTTAATCCTTTTAGAAACTAAGGTAGGAGAGTGGTTAAAGTGTAATTACAAACTAATTTAAGCCTATAGCAAAAACAGGTTAAAAAATAGATATTAGAGTATAATAATTTAGCATGGAACAGACTGACAAATCTCAGAGGGAAGGCTGGGGTGGGTG